GGTCCACTAATAACTTCGTATTTCAGAAGAAGATTTATGACAAGGTTCTTTCAAACTTCGTGACAACGAAGTGTTATGGGCCTGTTGGTCTAGTGGTTAGTGACCCTAACTGCTAAGTTACAGGTCTTGGGTTCCATTCCAACCCAGGACAAATAGTTGTTTGAGGAACACGTTCATTAGTTCTATGTCTGGATGTAATTTATGTATAATAATAATAATAATAATAATCATTTATTTCAGGTATAAACCCATAGGCAAAAGCACAAAATCCTAAAAATCATAAAATCATAAAATCCAAAAATCATAAAATCATAAAATCATAAAATCATAAAATCATAAAATCATAAAATCATAAAATCATAAAATCATAAAATCATAAAATCATAAAATCATAAAATCATAAAATCATAAAATCATAAAATCATAAAATCATAAAATCATAAAATCATAAAATCATAAAATCATAAAATCATAAAATCATAAAATCATAAAATCATAAAATCATAAAATCATAACATCATAAAAATCGTAAAAATCATAACATCATAAAAATCGTAAAAATCATAAAAAATACACAATTATAAAGTCGGAATACTTAAATTAGAACAAAAAATAAAATAAAATTATTATCACCAGATTCATTACAATATACGTTAAAATACGTTATACGTACATTAAAATACGTTATTTTACCTTTACAAATCGCATATTCCGTGTCGACAACTATGATAAACCGCCTGGACAACTGAGTTGGCAGTACTTCTGATTCTATTCATAAATGAAGCAGCCCTCTTTCGTAGCACTGCAAAGAAGTCGTCTACCCTGTTCCCGGCGAACATGCCAGATGCACTACACCGCCACGGCAGGTTAAGCATGGCTCTAAAAGCGTTATTATATTGTACTCGTAATGCGTTGTACGTTCTCTGGGTGTAATTCCTCCATAAGCTACAGGTGTAAAAGGACTGACAGTACGCCGCGAACAGGGTGACTTTAACCTCCCTACTGCACCTAGCGAAACGGCGTGCTAACATATTACTCTTAGCGGCAATAGACCTCCTTTGCCTCTCCATGTCATCATCGTCCCTAAGGTTATCCCTTATTACGTGCCCTAGATATTTGAAAGAGGTTACGGTTTTAAGTGGTGTCCCGCCAATAGTAATTACTGGGTTAAAGCTGTTAGTTCTGTCGTGTCTAAAAATCATAACCTCCGTTTTGCCCGCATTATAGGTCAGTCCATGACTTGCAGAGTATTTTTCACAAATGTTTAATAATGTACGCAGACCCTGAACGGACGGGCTCAGCAGAACCATGTCGTCGGCGTAGCTCAAGTTATTGACAGGTTCATTTGTCATGTGACAGCCGACTCCAGACCGGCCGAGCTCATCGATCAGACCGTTGACGTACAGGTTGAACAGAGTTGGTGATGTCAGCCCACCCTGTCTTACGCCACACTTAAGGGTATACTCTTTAGAAAAACCTTTATTGGCCCATCTTACCACGTTACTCTGGGCACCATACCAGTACTTGAACAGTCCCAGCAAGTCACAAGGCACGCCAACCTCCTCCATCTTTGCCCATAAGATATTATAATTTATAGTCTCGAATGCACGGCTGAGATCAAGGAAGCAAGCGTACACACTCGTATTTTTACTGTTATAGTATTTTACCGTGTTTTTTAAAGCGAAGATGGCCATTTCCGTTGAGTGTCCCCCGCGGAACCCAAACTGTGCACTATTTATATTTATGTGACTTAATAATTCGGGATGTAGTAGCCTCTCAAATATTTTTGACATAATGGTCGCCAGAGAGATAGGACGGTAATTCTTTATGTCAGACTTATCCCCCGACCCATTTTTTGGCACGGGCACAACCACTGTCTTCATAAAAGTTTTTGGTAAGTAACAGTGGGACAGACATAGATTGTAAAATTTAGACATTAGTTCAAACAACAAATGACCACCATATAGGATATGTTCCACGCTCAGACTGTCGTGTCCAGGCGATTTCCCTTTCTTCATATTTTTTACGCACTTAAATACGCTACATGGAGTTATACAAACACTGGCGTTAGATAATGACTCGCCGATTCGTCGGCTTCTACTCGCCGAGTCACACTGCGACTGAGGCGACGACGGTAACGGTGTCGGTGGCGGCGGCGCCCCAGCGCCCCCCCCAGCTGTTTGGAATTGCTGTGCGAACATCTCTGCTATTTCAGAAATATTGTGACTATTGTTGACTGTTACTGGCATTGCCGGTTTAAAAGATAAACTGTTTGTCGATTTCCAAAAGCTCTTGAAGTCATGATTTGACCTTCGCTCAGCAATTATATCCATTGTACAAAGTCGCAAAAATATCTCCCGAGGGAATAAAACACTATGTTCAGAGCAAGACAATTTATTGTATAACTTGGCCTAGAAGATAATGCATTGCAAGAAAATCTTAACATCGACATCTAGAAAAGGATCGCAATAGTACAACGCCATCTATCGAGCATTAGTTGTACAAATAAATCATGTATTGTCGTTAAACAGGTTTAAACTAAATACCTAGACCAAACATGCCGCCCACCATGGACAGCCTGTCCATAAATCCTATAACAACAGTAAGAACTCTTATGGCTTGGCTTAACAAAACCCTGACCAAGTAATTAAAACAAGAACAAGTGTATAACAATTGATTACAACAAAAAGTAAAACAAATTCATGCAAGTAGGTACGCCAAGTAATAGTTGTATACAATAAAAATAATTATAATAAAAAAAAAAACAATTTATCAAAAAAAAGGGTAACCTTAAAAGCTAAGTAGTTACAGGTAAAATGATCAATTTCGACACTGGTCTTTTGATCTCCTTATTTTTACACCTTAAGGTTACTACGCGCGTAAGATTATCCAAACCTGGATGTTTATTTGTAATAACTCCATAAAGCCATTTAGCAGGAGGAAGCCCATCCTCCTTAACCAAAACAATGTCTCCTATTTTAGGTTCAGGTTTGTATTCTGACCATTTATGTCGATGCTGCAACTGTGTTAAATATTCTAGCGACCACCTCCGCCAGAAAATTTGGAGCAGTTTCTGGGTAAGGTGCCACCGCTTCACATTACTAATGGAAGCATTCTCATAATTGGAATCGGGTACAGTGACTAGAGGTTCACCGACAAGAAAATGCCCAGGGGTCAATGGACACGCATCGTCTGGGTCGTTAGGAAGCTGAGACATCGGTCTAGAATTGAGGCAAGCCTCTATCTGAGCTAACACTGTTGTCATTTCTTCAAATGTCATTGTGCTATTACCAATAATTCTCTTCAAATGATACTTTGTAGATTTGACACCAGCCTCCCATAATCCTCCAAAATTTGGAGCATGGGGAGGTATAAAGTGCCAAGTTGTACCATTCGTAGCCAGGAAATCTGCTATTTCTGGAGCTACCATAGACCTTTCAGCATTGAATAACCGTTTCAATTCCGTCGCACTACCAATAAACGTAGTCCCGTTATCACTCCACAAATCTAATACCCTACCACGCCTTGCTACAAAACGCTTAAATGCCGCAAGAAAACTCGGTGAACTCATGTCGCTCACGACCTCCAGGTGTATAGCCCGGGTTGACATGCAGACAAATAGGCATATGTATCCTTTACTGGAGTGAAAACCGCGACCCTTAGTGGCTCGAATGCTAATTGGACCCGCATAATCCACACCACAGCACTGGAAAGGTTTCTGAGCAGAGACCCTGGCCTTCGGTAATTGTCCCATAAATTGTTGATTTATTTGGGATGAATGTCGAATACAAACTACACACCTATGAACATATTGTCTAACGAGAGTTCTTGCGTTGAGGACCCAATATTTAGATCTTAAATAGTTTAGCATTAGCTGGGGTCCACCGTGCAAGGTTCTCTCGTGAGCCTCTCCGATCAAGAGGTTGGTGAGGTGTGATTTATGAGGTATTAATATGGGATGTTTCATATTCTCATCAATAGAAGCTCGATGCAAACGACCACCTACTCTTAGGATTCCGTTATCGTCAAGAAAAGGACTTAACGAGGTTAGTTTACTCATTTTATTTAATTTGCATCCCTTTTTTACAGCTTCTATCTCATCCTTAAAATAACGCAGCTGGCAGAGGTGCACACAGGTAAGTACAGCTTTATTCAATTCCTTCGTAGTTAGCCAAGTAGGCAGTTCATCCCTTTCTAGTTTTGTCATCTTCATTTGTAGAAATCTTCTGCAGTAAGCTATAACCCTGATTAATTTATTGAACTTAGAAAACCTAGTTAAAAGATCATCTTCACCTTCTGTAGCAGTTGCATAACATTTCATCTTTGTCTTGCGTTCCTCTAATGTAGTTTCCTGTATATTTCCTCTATTATAGTTTATTCTTTCATTCTCTAACCATGTCGGACCCTTTTTCCACAGAATTATATCATTACACTCCGAAGGACGTATTCCCCGTGATGCACAATCTGCTGGATTTTCCGAAGAAGGTACGAATGACCACTGACTTCTATCCGTGATAGTGAGTATCTCGGAGACACGATTCGCGATAAAGGTTTTCCACCGGCTTGGGTGGCTGCTGAGCCACGCTAAGACAACGGATGAATCTGTCCACGCGTATATGTGCTGCTTGGGAACTTCTAGAACTGAAGAGACTTCTTGTAGAAGTTTTACCAATAAAACAGCTCCGCAAAGTTCTAAGCGAGGAATTGAAACTTGCTTGATTGGGGCTACTTTAGTTTTAGAAGTTAACAAGTTGGCATGAATATTACCTGTTAAGTAGGTGCGTAGCAATAAGACAGCGGTTGAATGCGAACTGATTTATTATTCGTCCCCGCGCCGGGACGCGGTACACAATGTAGGTAGATACATAACACTTTTCCCTCTTAAGAATAAACTAGCTATCTTATAATCATAAACAAGACCTTAAACCTAAAGAAATATTAAGTGAATGTAATGGAAACTTATAAGTAATTTCATAATTGGGTACCTATAGATTACAATCTTATTTATACATTTTCAGTCTTTCACGACATTGTATAGCAGCTTCCCTGCGCTGTGGTTTATCAGTATTAGCGTTAGAAGACAACAGCGGCGCCGGCGATGTCGGGCTTGTGCCCGCTCCTTCCTCCGCACTATCAAATGACTCCTTATACTCCTCCTCATCTGACTTAGTCGTCAAACCAGCCGTTGACTTGACATGTGAACTATCCACTATTTGGCTCAGTGAATGACGTGGTTTTCTAGCGAGTATTTGGTCAATGTGTCTCTTATACATATGACCGTCTTTTGTTGTAACGTTATACGATACAGGACCAGTTCGTTCCTTTACCACGGCCTCAGTCCACTTATTGCCAAATTTGGAATAGTTACGCATCAGTATCGGTCCGTTTTGCTCAACCACTCGCAACGGTACGTTACGGGCCCGCTGCTCCTCGGTAAGCTGACGCGCGCGCACACGCTCAGCGGCATCGGGACGCAGTAGGTCTAGTCGACCGCGCAGCCGTCTGCCTAACAGAGCGACTGCAGGTTCGCATCCCGTTGTGCCCTGTTCGGTATTTCGGTACATAAATAAAAATCGGTTCAAGGCTTTATTTATGTCCTCCCTTTCTAATTCTGCTTTTTTAAGCACCCTTTTAATAGTGCGCACGGCATTCTCCGCTGCGCCATTGCTGGAAGGGTGATACGGGGGTACCAGGGTGTGTTTAATACCGTTGTTCTCTAAATATTGAGAAAATGCCGCCGATGTGAATGGCGGTCCATTGTCGCTAACAATGCGTTTTGGCAAACCGAAACGAGAAAAATGGCTCCGCAAGCTGTCACAAACCGCACTAGCTGAGGTCGATTTGATTTTTTCTGCTTCTATCCATTTCGAATGCGCATCAATGATTATAAAGTAATAATGATTATTAAAAGGACCGAGAAAATCTACATGAATGCGAGACCATGGTTCCGCCGGCCAAGGCCACGAGTGCAGCGGGGCGGCGGGGGGCGCTGGGCGCATCTCCCTGCACGCTACACACTCGCGCGCAACCTCTTCTATGTCTCGATCGATATTTTCCCACCAAACGTAATTTCGTGCGATTTGTTTCATCTTGACTATGCCCGGATGACCTTCATGGATCTCTTTTAAGATGCAGTTTCGTAAGGTATTCGGGACTACAATTCGATAACCCCAGATTATACACCCCTGGTTTATGTGTAAATTGTCCCTTTTGTTATAATATTTTTTTTCAATATTATTGTACTCATAATTAGTTGGCCACCCAAACATAATAAATCCGTAGATCTTGTTTAGTATCGAATCCTTTCCCGTTTCAGTTTTAATTTCATTAAAACTGATTGGAAAGTTTTCTTGCGCGTAATGCAGATAACTACCTTCTTCGTCTTCACCTCTTAATTGCTTTTTTGACAATTCTAGAGGGAGACGTGAAAGCGTATCAGCGAAACAATTTTGTGTTGATCTTACAAACTGAATGGAAAAATCATATGCAGCCAACTTAACGGCATAACGTTGGAGTCTACTTGCAGCTGTTACTGGTAACCCTTTATTTTTACTAAAAATGTAACTCAAAGGGCGGTGGTCGCTCCGTAGTACAAAATGTCTCCCGTAAACATATTGATGGTGCTTAGTGACCCCGAATACGATGGCGAGCGCCTCTTTGTCTATCTGGGAGTAGTTAGCCTCCGCGCTGTTGAGTGTGCGCGACGCGCAGCTGACGGGCCGCTCAGCGCCGTCCGCGTGCCGCTGCGTGAGCACCGCGCCGAGCCCGTATGCGCTGCTGTCCACTGACAAAATCAGCTCCAAGCTGGGATCGTAATGCGCGAGCACAGGGGAACTGCTTAATACATTTTGTATTTTATTAAAAGCCGTATTACAATCAACTGTCCAACTCCATTTCACATTTTTTTTCAATAAATCATACATTGGTTTCAATATGTCACTCATATTCACACAAAATTTTGAATAAAAGTTCACTAATCCTATAAAACTTTTCAGTTGAGTAACATTAGTAGGTGGGGGCGCTGCTACAATGGCTTCAATTTTTTTTGAATCAGTGTGCAGCCCATACTTATTAATTTTGTATCCTAAATAGGTAACACTGTCCTTGAAAAACTGACACTTACTAAAGTTTATCCTCAATCCGTTCTCTTTGAGCCTTTGTAGCACCGCCTTTAAATTTGCTAGGTGAGTGGGTTTGTCTCTTCCTGTCACGCAAATGTCATCAGCGAAGACCGCTGTCGAAGCCAAGCCATTTAGCGTTTCTTCCATAATTTTTTGAAAATTTTCGGGTATGCATTTAATACCGAATGGAACGCGCTTATAAACAAATGTACCTACGTGAGTGGTAATGGCTGTCATCGCCTGCGAGTCTTCGTGTAAAAGACATTGTTGAAATGCATTAGACAAGTCTAATTTTGTGTATTGCTCACCCCCTCCCAAAATCGCAAACAGGTCTTCGATACGCGGCAGCGGGTAATGATAGTCTTTTAACAGAGGATTGATTGTGACTTTGTAATCGCCGCATAATCTGATATTACCATTTGTTTTAATTACTGGGACAATAGGTGTACCGTAATCTGATCTTTCGACTTTGTATATGACGTCATCCCGCTGCAGCCGCTCGAGTTCCCTTTCAACTGGTTGCCGAAGCGCTAATGGTATTGGTCGCGCTTTTATAAACCTAGGTGACTCATCTTTAAGATATAATTTAAACTTTGACTTAAACGTACCTAAACCTTCTGCAAATACCTCAGGAAATTCCTTTCGCAAGGAAGTCGCCATCGAGTCTACTTCGGTTATATTGTAGCATTCCCCTATACCTAGCTTCAAATGTTTAATCCACGTTCGGCCCATCAGTGGAGGCCCTCCGTTTTCAATGATAAATAAATTTAATTTTGATTGCTTTTCACCATGACTAACATTGACCACAATAAAACCAAGAGTCTCGATGACGTCCCCGGTATATGACTTCAGATTTATTTGCTTTTGTTCTATAGGAATATTCGGGAAATATCTATAATAATATTCTTTGGAAATAACAGATAACTTACTTCCCGTATCAATCTCAAATTTACATAGAATGTTCTCAACTTTTATTTTAGCGTAATATGGACCATCGCCTAATTACTAACTACTAAATTATAAAAATTACAACCTTCATCCTCCGAGTCCGATCCGTTCAGAAAAAACTGATTTTTGTTTGAATATTTAGAACTTTTATTCTCACTTTTATTTTTCACACACACTGCTTTTAAATGGCCCCGTTGACCACACACATCACAGTTGTAATACTTAAACCGACACTTGCCATCCGTATGCCCTATTTTACCACACCGGGGGCAAGCGCGCTGCGGCCGGGGCGCGCCCGCCTGCGCCCTGGAGCCCCCGGCAGCGCCCGCGCCTATCCGGTGCAAGCCGTCGTCGTGCGGCGCCGCGCCTGCTGCGCCCGCCATGGACGCGTGGCGCTCTGCCGCCTCCAGTGCCTGAGACAGCTCCACGGCGCGCTTGTAGTCCACATTCTTTTCCGCAAAGATCCTCGATCTCATGTCTTCATTGTACAAACCAGATACATATTGGTCGCGTAAGTTCTCCTCCAACTTATCCCCAAAATTACAACTTTTTGCCAGATGTTTTAAAGATTGTAGGTAGTCGCGAACACTTTCACCTTGACGTTGAGTTCGCTGCCTGAAAATGTGCCGTTCAGCAATTTCTGATCGTTCAGGTTCCACGTGATCTTTCACCAGTTTAACTAGTTCGGTAAATGTTTTTGATTCCGGGGTACTTGGCGAGCACAAGTCGCACATTAACTCATAGCACTCCGCGCCTACTACCGTCACTAACGTAGCAACTTGAAGCGAATCACTAATGCTATTCAATGCTATAAACTGTTTCACTCTCCGAACATACGCGTCCCAATTGCTACTTTCAAAACTGTACGGTTCTATGTGTCCGATCGGCATTGTAATAATGTTATTTTCACAGATGCACGCGCGATAAATAACAGCTCGTCGCCAGTGTTAAGTAGGTGCGTAGCAATAAGACAGCGGTTGAATGCGAACTGATTTATTCTTCGTCCCCGCGCCGGGACGCGGTACACAATGTAGGTAGATACATAACATTACCGTCTTGATCAACTATGCGAATGTATATTACTGCGGCATAAGCTACGTTGGATGCGTCTGAAAAGCCATGCAATTCTAGAATCCTGTTATCTCTATTCGAATTTATCCAACGAGGTAGACGAAATTTGCTAAGGTTACCAAGATCCTTTCGAAAATCAAGCCACTCTGTCAACAAGTGTGGAGGTAGTTCTGCATCCCAGCCGATCCCAGTCATCCATAATCGTTGAATAAACACCTTTGCAGTGATTATGGTCGGTGCCAGCCATCCAAGCGGGTCGAAGAGTCGGGCTATGTCTGAAATTACCTTTCGTTTTGTTACTGGCAGATCTATATCATTAAGATGAATAGTATAGACAAAGTCATCACTGTCCTTATCCCAAGTTAATCCTAATATTTTTGAAATAGCATCTGTTTTTAGTTCTATGTTTTGAGTTTGTGACATCTGGTTGCCATTATTAATAATTCTCAATAACTCTTTGCTATTACTTGCCCACTTTTGCAACCGAAACCCTCCACGATCCAACAATTCCGTCATCTGCCCATAAATTCCTATTCCTTCTTCTATACTTTGACATCCTGACATGAAGTCATCCATATAGAAGTCGGAAACAACACGGCCTTTTGCTAGAGGAAATTCAGCACCTTCGTCCTGAGCTAACTGCTGCAACGAGCGTACAGCTAGATATGGCGCTGATGATGTTCCGAAAGTGACTCTTAAATGTCGTAAAACCTTAAGTTCGTCATTTGGATTCTCACGCCATAAAATCCGCTGATAGTCTGTGTGGTCGTCGCATACCTTAATCTGCCTGTACATTTTAACAATGTCAGCTACTAGGCAGATAGGATGAAAACGCCAACGTAAGATAATGTGACGGAGTTCAGGCTGCAAGGATGGACCAACCATTAAGTTGTGGTTAAGTGATACACCATTATTGCCTACACAGGATGCATCAAATACAATACGCAACTTTGTTGTACTCTTATCATTACGAATGACGGCATAGTGCGGTAAATATACCGAACCTGCTTTATCCCGATCCTTTACAACATCCATGTGATTAAGTGCTACATACTCATTTATAACGGCTGAGTATTGTGCCTTGAAGTCGGGATCCTTTAAAAACCGCCTTTCTAACGTTAGAAATCGCTGAAGAGCAATTTCCTTTGATCCGCCATATTTACAAGCTGGATCGTCTGAATTAAAGGGCATGTTTACAATATAGCGACCAGAACCATCCCGTACGGTGGTGGCCTTAAACAGCTCCTCACATTTCTGTTCTTCTGGGCTGTAGTAAATCCTATTGTAATCACAATGGGGCTCAGATTCGAGCTCCCAAAACTTCTTAAGAAGCGCATTCTCGTCTATTTGAGTTGAATGTAAACTCACGACAGTATTGTGGCATGTCTCGCTTTGGCTGATTTGTTCGCCTACTTGACCAGACAAGATCCAACCTAGTCTTGTATTTTGAGCAATAGGTAGACCAGGCGGACCTCTGATTAAACCTTCTAACAATATCTGGCCATAAACATCAGCGCCTAACAGCAAATCAATCTTGTTTGGAGTATCAAATGAAGGATCTGCTAAATCCAAAGACGAGATTGTGGTTAAAACATTTGCCATTACCTTCCTTTCCGGTAAAAGACTAGTTAACTTCTTTAAAACGTATGCCCTTACCGTAACAATAAAACTAGGGTCTATTCGTGATTTAGCCTTTAAAAGAACCATCGACTTTAGTGAAATCATCGATTGTCTTTGATCACCTCCTATACCTGAGACTGAACCTCTAGTTGGTATCTTCTTAAGACCTAAGAGCTGAACTGCGGACTCCGTTATAAACGAAGCTTGAGATCCTTGGTCTATCAAGGATCTTAACACAATTGCAGCACCGCTCCCTGATTCCACTGCGATTAAAGCAGTGGCCAATAAGATTTGACTATCACTATTAGCAAAACAACTTACAACATTAGTGGACTTGCTCTGATTTGATGTAGTTGCGACAGCACCATCACTACCTTCTACTACCTGATCAGAAGCGTTGTTAACACTAACTGATTTGGAGACATTCTTAAGGTGAAGGAGAGAATGATGCTTACCTTTACATGTATGACATCTTGTGGATTGGCGACATGAATATACGGAGTGATTTCCACCCAAACAGTTATAACATAAACCATTTGTTTGGACAAAATTCCGACGCTTATCAACATCGAGACGACCGAACCTTTTACAATTTGAAATTTTGTGATTATCTTGACAAAAACCACAGGAGGTTGCTGACACCTGATACGCTTTAACAGTAACATTACGATGAGTTTGATTACGCTGACCTTTATTGTCTAAAAATTCTAATGCTCTAAATCTATGTTCAAGGAATGATTTAAATTGATTAAAGGTAGGTAAATCATCTGAACTATCACTTATTTTCATTTCCCATTGCTTACGTGTCTCACTGTCTAACTTCAAACTTAAAATATAAATAACGATAATGTCCCAATTATCAACGTTTACGTCTAAGTTTTGTAAAGCATGTAAGCATTCATTGGAGGTATCTAACAATTCTTTAAGTGCGCTTGAAGATTCTGAGACAATATTTCTTTGACTCATAAAACGTTTTAATATGCAGTTCGCTAAATATTTCTTATTATTGTATCTATTTTCTAATTGAGACCAACAGATTGAATAATTGTCACTAGTAATAGGAATATGTCGTAAAATACCTTCAGCTTCTCCTGACAAATGGGTCTTCAAATAATGTAATTTTTGAACTTCATCTAAATGTTTATTATTGTGAATTAATGATTTAAATAGATCTCTAAAACTAATCCATTCAGAATAATTTCCTGTAAACATTGGCAACTCAATTTTTGGTAGTTGAACAGTACATACAGAAGAATCCTTTGTGGAAGTTTCGGACACTTTACTTGTAGTATCCGAACCTACAACCTTTTTTAAAGATTCCTTCAAAAGAGACTTATAATCTGTAAATAATTCTTCCGTCATTTCATACAAGTTTTTTTCGTTATATTCTAATGTTTCAAATTCTGTAGACTTAACCGCTGTTACAATTTTCATGTGAGTTTCACAAAATGTCGACCAACCAGCTTCCAAATTTTCTAATCTAGTTTCAATATAGGAACTAGTTAATCGCTCCTTCGGTGATTTCTTAAAGTTACACTTTGCCTTATTAATTGTAGAATACAAATTGAATTGTAAATTAGTTAAAGCTTCCATCTTGATTCGATGAAGGTAGACACTTGTATATTGTTTTGATTCTCAGTATAGTTTTTTATAAGTTCATAAAGTTAACACGTAAAATTTTACAAGTCTTTTTACTTAGTTAATATAGCACTAAAATCGGGCATAGGTTCCCCGTCTCTCACTTTTTATTGAAATTATTCTAAGTTCATGCACAAATATTTTAAATTTTCTAAGTCCAAATAATGAGTTTAATTTTTCTAAGTTGTTAGAATTCAACTATTATGATTGATAAGTTCAATTTAATCGATTAGTTATTAATAAATTAATAAAGTACTCACAATATCCTTGTAACACACATACACTTCACTGTCACTCACTCACGTGGGTCGTCGTAATGTTTTGCGGGGTACTTCTCCCGCACCGCAGCTGCTGTTCACGCCGATCAGCACCAATCCGCCGTACTCCTTATTTCCGCTAGCGCCGCTCACCACCGATCGCAGTGACGACACTTGTCGTAGGCCTGGGTTGCCGCCGATGATACTCCGCCGTAGACAATGCACACCAATCCTTAATCCGGCTCCGAAGGACCACTTGTACAAAGTCGCAAAAATATCTCCCGAGGGAATAAAACACTATGTTCAGAGCAAGACAATTTATTGTATAACTTGGCCTAGAAGATAATGCATTGCAAGAAAATCTTAACATCGACATCTAGAAAAGGATCGCAATAGTACAACGCCATCTATCGAGCATTAGTTGTACAAATAAATCATGTATTGTCGTTAAACAGGTTTAAACTAAATACCTAGACCAAACATCCATTTTTATTTGATTAGCATTATTTTGACACCATCTTATTTTATTCTTAAATAACCTTCTAGCTGTACACATATTATCATACAGCACCCCCTGCGACGGCCTACCGTTTAGCAACCATAGTTGAAAAGCATGTCTTGCTTGAGTATGTAATCCTTTAACGTGGTAGTTCCAACCCGTGACCCACGTCTTTTTATTGTTATTTCTGTTCTGGCCGCGATACGATACTCTCGCCGCCCTAGTTAAGCAGTTAATAATTTCTTCATACATTTGATCTATTGAGAAGTTATGTACTTGGTCGCTACACGGCACGCCACCACAATGCGTACTATACTTGGACACATTTATCTTACTTAAATATTCATTACATAAATCTGTATATAGCTTGATTTGTTCATTATTCCTATTACCCCAAATAACCTGATTTCTTACATTATTGTTTTCAGTTAGACATCTTTTTGGAATTATTATAGACATATTACATTCCACCACCAGTGGAAAATGATCAGACCAAGACACATCTGTAATAACATTTATATTTTTTACAATATTGAGGGCCGCCGAAGTCACAACACAGTGGTCGAGCCAGCTAGAAGTACCGTGTGCTTCACTCAGAAATGTAAAGGTGTTAGAGGACTCACCAAGCATCCTTACATCAGCACACACCCAGTCCTGATCTTCACAGTATGCGGATAGTTCGTTACCGAACATGCTTCCCGTATCGGCGTTAAAATCACCCAAGGCCACGGCGTACTCGGAGCCACAATCTTCTATTATTGAACTCATCACACCTAGACACTCGGTAAACTCTAGAAGATTGTCT